CCCCCCCCCCCCCCCCCCCCCCCCCCCCCCCCCCCCCCCCCCCCCCCCCCCCCCCCCCCCCCCCCCCCGCAAAGATCTCGCTTTTAAACTTACACTCACCATTTTCTTCGAAAATATATGTGAGTTCCACAAAAGAGAATATATCCTCATGAAGCAGTGAAACCGTCAAATCTTCAGTGTTCTGTCCTTTCTCATCGTTAAATATAAGTTCATCGTACTGCAAATTTCTTTGATAGAGAAATTCGATCAGTGTTACCAATGGTAGCACATTCAATAAAGAAGTATGAATGTTAGATGAAAAAGATGAATGCAACTAATAAAATCTTGCTCGCGGCATAATCGAATCAAAAATAGCTATCTAAATATGGAGTGCGACTGATCGGTTTGTTTTCTGATAGACTATTATCATTATCAGTTAAAAACTAAGCTGCTATCAGCAGAAGAAATACCTTTTTTTGTTTTGTTTTATTCATTGATGATTATAAACAGAATTTTAACGTATGAATGGATAAGAAAATTCAATTGTTTTATCAATAAATCTATGTTAGCATTTCAGATGCAAATGTTTTCATTTTATCTTTCATGTGATCTGCTTTTCAATTCGAATTATCATACAAGTTCAATTTTTATTTTTATGTTTATTTGAATCTATCTCATGTAGGCGAATTTTAGAATGGGGAAAGTCATCATAATAGTCTTAGATGTAACAATTTTTCAGTTTCCATTGAAAACAAACCGTCAGACTCTTTTCTTTTCTTTTTTTCTCTTTCAAACCAGAATCGGCTCCATCCAATTCATTTACTTTTATAGGCATAGATGTTATATATTAAACCATCTAGAAAGAAAGAAATAGAATTCATTTAAAAAGATACTGAGTAAATAAATCCATTGAGTTTATACATGTTTATGGAAGAATTCAAATTGATCGAATTTTCTATCATATTAGAATATTGCTTTATATTATATACATATACTTTTTATGAGTAGCATGAACAATTTTTTTAGGTGTAATAAAATTGTAAACAGCCAAAAAAAAGCTTAACAGTCGAAGCAGCACAAAAGTAATTACACATGCTCACATCCAAATGAGTAATCTATCTGCTTTTTCATTGAAATACGCTGTAAATTGTTTATGTTGAAGATGATTTCGATGATCTATTAACCACTTTTCTGCATCATTTTTCATTTCATTCGATGGTCGACCATCGGCACAGAGTGAAATAAGTGGTGCGTTTTGCTTACTAAATTCATCAAAATAACATAAAACCATTAAATCAATAGTCTTATCCAACGCTCTCATATCAATGTATAAATGACGAAGATGTAAAAATATGGACGCAATACAAGAAATATGTTGTCGTCCATTTATTGAACAATGTGGCATATTATTGATTGATAGGGCAGTTATTCGCCGTTGAAGTATTAAACAAGCATCTTTATGATCGAGTAAAAATAACAATGTGGTATAATTTAAATCCAAGCGAAAGAGATTCGGAGCAGCAAGAACAATTTGTGTCATACGATGAAGATCTTTTGGTACACTACCAACCAGAGTAAGTCGAAGAAGACGTAACATTATAGGTAGAGGGTAGTTTTTTTCTTGTTGAGCTTGTTTTGCAACTAAAAATAATATTTACATGAATGAAATGGCCAATAGAAAATTATAAAAAAATTTGCTGGTTCTATTGTAAACTGTTTCATTTAAAAAGTATAAGAAAGCTAAAAGGAGGCACGTCTCTAGTGTAGAACAGTTCAACTCAATCGAAAGTACATTTCCGAAGAAACCAACATGAAGTCTAGACATTATATAAAGTTAAAGATCGAAATTGAAAAATTTTCTCAAGTTTTCTATGTTTGATCGATGGCATTTAAAGAAATAAAAATTATATCTTTTTACATTCTTGTAAACTTTTACGAGAAGTTTGTGAGTTCCTGAACATTTTTAAAGAGTTTATAAATAATGCAATATGACACTAGAATCATATTAAACTTTCAAAATTACATTGATTCTCTAATAAACTAAGTTATAGACAAGTGCAGAAGTAAACTTTCTCGTTTCCATGGTAATCTTACTCTCTGAAAAAGAACAGTTTAATAAAACTTTTCAAGCATATTTGAAAACATCAGTACCGGCTAAGTAAATCTTGCGATCGAATCACGTTAATTATTTTTGTACTTTTCAATTTCAAATCTCTTTCTACCTTTTTTTTGAATGTTAATAGGCACGATTATACAAGACGCTATTTAGTTTGGTACAAAAATTCATTCGGAACATAATCGTTAATATTTTTCGTCGTAGATAGCGACTCAATTTAGATTGCCGCTCTTCCGGTCCGTGACATCCATTGCTATCATACTTATAACAATTATGAAGGATAAAGTAAAAGAATGGTGAAGAAATTCACGGCAAAATAAATAGAATAAAAACACTGACATCTTATTTTAACCTCACAGGGACTGTACTGACAGTTACTTTTTAACACTTCGAATATGACGGTTTTATGCATTAGAGATAATGCGAATGATTATTAATACTTATAGGTAAAAAAATGTAATACTGAGTAAAACTTCGAAGAAAATGCAAAACTATATTATTGAAAAAATCAACTTGTTTTTTTCCCTCAAATTTTGATATACCATATATTTATAAAAAATGTATAATCAAAGACTATGACCTATATGTCGACTATTCCATAATCAAAATATAAAAATCTCCAATGACTCGTTATTCTTTTATAATTTACGATTCGTTACATTTGCCTAATAATACTGCCATTCATTAAAAAATAATGTCGTTTCTTTATTTCGAAAAGTACTTGAAGTACATTTGTCATCATTGATGCTCACTACTAATTATAAAATAAAAACAAGATAATATCTTATTACCCGAATTTCCATTAAACTGATTATTTGTATCTGTTCCATGCAACCAAATCATGCTATGCTTTACTCGTCTGCAATAACTAAGTATCGGAAATGCTTCGGCTAATGTAAAATCACAATCAACATGTATTCTTTGAATATTTTCATAGGAATTTTTATTTTTTAATATTGATTCAGCAACAGAAGATGATATTTCTAAATAATTAAATGATGAATACGGTAATGTATGTAAATACATATAATCATTTTGCATATGATTATACAAACATATTATTGGACATTTATATTTCCATGTCTCTAATATTTCGAAATAGTCAATTGTTTGTTCGGGCAAATAATGTATAGCATAATGAAATTCTTCAATTGTATTTGGTAAACATGTTTTTAAAATTTGTCCATTTGTTAATGTTGAATCGGATGTTCGTAAATTTAATGATAGATATTTAATTGCAGGTAATTTTTCAAATAAAAAAGTTAATTCATGTAAACGCCATGATCGTTCAACAGATTTTAATTGGAATTTTGTTAAAAAATTTAATTTATATGGTGAGAATATTCGATTAATATTATCTAAATTGTCTTTTTTATGTATTGATACGGATAAAGTAATTATATTGGGAAGGATTAAAAGTAGAACAGATAAATCACATACGGTTGAGATTTCAATTTTTAAATCGATTATATTTGGACATGTTATTTGTTTTGGTAAATACTTTTTTATTGGATTTAAAGGACTTGATTGGTCATCAATATAAACAGACCTTAAACGATTATTATTAGCTTGTAATAATGCTAATAGAACTTCAGTTTGTTGATTTGTTGGCACACGAAATAAACTGCGTGTATCAATTGTATGTAATTTTTCTAAGTTATGCAAAATTTTAAGAAATACCAATAATGGATCAGGACGAAATGAAATAAGAGTTATTTTTTGTAATTGAGGAAAACATTCGGCCATAGAATTTTGGAAATATTTTGGAAATGTAATTGCTTGTAAAGCTGAATAACAATTATCGATTATTAATGTTTGAATGCGTGCGCCAATCTTTGGAAGAATTGTGGAACATAACTCAGAAAATTGCATATAGGATGCTTTGTGTAATGATACATGATGATAATAATCATTTATCATACACGTCATACGTGTATTCAGATTATTAAAACTTAGTAAAACATCGACGCATAAAAGATACTTACATATTTCTAATAGAATCTCATCTGGTAATAATTCTAAATTTGAGATGGAACTCATCTGCAAAGAAATGCACAAAATTTGTCTTTTTCATTTAGTTACTATTTTGTATCTTTAACTCGCTCTATACACTTCTCATTTGCGAAAACTACAAATCTTCATAAGAAAAAATGATTCTTTTATTCTTGCATTGATACACAATGGTTTAATAATTCTTCATGATGTCAACCGGTTTTTTTTTCTTAATTGGTGTTGTACGACTAGAAAAACTATGCCGATTTTCATGTTATGATTCTAATAAATATATTCGTGATTTCGATTACTCTTATTCAAATTAAAATAAATGATCTAATAAAATTTTTCTATATATCAAACCTTCAAGTGAAAGTCAAGGTTTATACGTCATTTGAGTACATTTCTATCCTGAATAAGGTCAAATTAACTTTTTGAATAGAATGCGTAGCTGCGATCTCGTCTAGCTACCTATTACTAAAACTGGCATGCATTCTCTTTCAGAGAACCGGTAATTGTTTTCATGTAGAAAATGAAAATGTATTGTTCGGTTGTACATTTTATTTGTGTAAAAATATCTTTAATTATATTATAAAAATATTTGATATATAAATCATGATTATTTGAGAATGAAAATTTTTAGGTCTCGAATTTTAAATGAGAATTATAAAGAACACTTAAGTTTCGGTTTCATTTTTAATAAGTCTATTCTCTTTTTCTTTTGAAATAATTCACTTTTTTTGATTGTAGAAGTCTAAATGAGACAACAAAAGTCTTACTGTAAATAATTTTCTCAAAAAATACAATGGAATATCTAAGGTACATAGCCGATATTTTTAAGGACATACTAGTCTATGTAGTAATAACAATATAAGAACAAAACAAAAAATGACAAATGACCTAAAGATACACACCCAGAATGTACTCTTATTGCTCCCGTACCTTATCAATCAGTTCAATTTTATGAATTTTTCTGAAACTTGAGGAAAATTATTTTTAGTTTAGGAAACTATTATTGTTGTATTTTCAAAAATTAGGGTTTGCAAATAAAATCTGAAATAGATGGCGGTAATTATCATGCTATTTGATCTTACAGAAGAAATATAGATATTTTGCAGGTCGTGGCATATTTTTTTCTGATGTTGTATTAACGTGAGCAAGAGAAGATAAACATTCTTAAGTAATTGTTCAGGTAGATATTACTCATTTTAAAACAACATTAGATCAAAACGATTATACCGTGATCATCAAATAACTGGTAGCTAATTAGTTATTGCTGTTATTTCATATAATTATTAGCAGATTTTTCTTATTGATGGATGATTTTGAAAATTTATATCTTTGAGTTTACTCATTTGATGAATGAAAACATCTAGAATATAAAAACCTTTCTCTTTACATTATTGGTTCAGCATTTTAAATGAATAATATACTAAAAAGTGCTTTCCTACTTGTCCGTTTGAGTTGAAACTTGTATTCTTCGTTGCAAAGAATATTTGCTGTTCTAGCTGCTATAATTGTTTTCTTTTCTTTTAAAAGACACTTGTTTCCTATAGATATATAGCATGATTTCTGAATTATGTAAAACATCATATGCACATGCATGATCACAGTTTGCTGTCGTTCTACTGTTGTCATTCCAGGTTTGGCTTCTTATATTTACAATATTAGCACCAAGAAGAGAATTTTGCTATGCATGATTATTCTACTGTAATAACAAATTAGAAACAATTAAGTAATTGTATAAATGTTTCTATCTAAACTAGTGCTTGTAGTCAATTTATTTTTACAATTAAACTTGCAATATATATTATAATGTACAAGTGTTTCTTCATTTCTTCGGCAACTTTCATATGACTGGTCACAGAACGGAAAAAAAGTATACATATATATGTGCATCGTATACGTACGTTCATTATATATATACGTCCTGTATGTTCATTCGTTATGTATATCCATTCATTATGTATATACGTCCTGCATATTCATTCGTTATGTATGTCCATTCATCATGTATATATATCATACTTCATTTTGTTTCATATTGTAAAGAGAATAGAAGTTTATACATTCACAAAACAAAAATAAACCTATTTACAAACAAGATAAAATTTAGTATATCTACAAAAAAAAATTATCTATTTATAAACACAATAAAAGTTTATATATTCATTTTACATAAACAAAATAAAAGTTTATATATTAATAAAAACAATAAAATAATTTATAAAAATATAGATTACAGTACACACGTACTTAGATTACAGTTCATAGATTGAGAGAACGAAATAGAATTAATATACAAGAGAAGAAAAAATAGAACAGATCACACTTGAGATAACAGCAAGTATATTATATATGTATTAATTGCCTATAATAAAATTGATTAACTTTAAACAATCACTTTTTAAAGTTTTGTTGTTGAAAATGGCAGATAAACAACAAAAACGAATATATGCAGGCTTATTGTGAAAGAAATTGTGAAGAAAGGAGAGCTCAAAAAAGATTACATTACCAAGAAAATCGTGAGACAATTTTGGAACAAAGACACGAGCGTCACCTAGAAAATAGAGATGTCATTTTGAAGGAAATCAGTGAAAACCGAGTAGTGAATTCAGCTCAAAATCATGAATATTATTTTGAAAATCGGGATGATATATTAGATGAAAGACATAAAAATGATGTCGAAAATCGGCAAGCTACTATTGATCGGGTCATTAACCGACGTCAAAGTACTTCAGAAAGACAATTGAAATCCGCTGTTTTCGGATCCTCAAATTTTGTTTATCCTAAAATGAATAATCTTGGCCCTTTGAATACTGAATGTCAGTATTGCGAAGCGGTTCATTTTAAAGATGAATTGAAAAGTATGTGCTGCCACAATGGCAAATTATCTCATTTTTCTGTTTAGAATGGACCTGAAAATTTTCCTATTGCATTAAAAAACCTTTTCATAGGAACTGATACAAAATCTAACAATTTTTGAGAATTTATTCGACAATATAATAATGCGAACAGTTTCGCATCGATGGGCGCTAAGATTGAGGATATTCCGCGAAACGGTCCATATTGTTTTAAAATATCGGGTGAAGTATATCATCGTACTTCAGAAAATATCCAAATCGATACTACTTTACAACCAAATTCTGTTCAAAAACTAATTCATCAGTCATCTTATGCTGAATTATATGTTTACGATGCGGACACTACTATTTAGATTCAAATGACAGAGCCCGCTAATGCCCGATGTCTTCGTGATAATATGATTACCATAAATGCAGTTTTAAATTATGTATCTCCCTATGCCAATTGCTTTCGTAAACTTCGAGATATTTATGATAAAGAACTATCTAATACGAGAATTACCGGTTCTTCTATGAAAAAGATATCTTTGATTTTCACTCGGAATCTTCATGACGACCAAAGGGTCTATAATGCACCTCGAACTGCAAATGATATTGCTATTGTATATATCGCTGATCGTGATGGTAATATTCCAGCTGAACTTGATTTTTCAGTTCAGCCAAGTAATTCAAATACTCTAAAAAGGATTAATATGCTTTCGAAGCATCTCGATCCTATGATTTTTCCAGTTTTTTCCCCAAATGGGGATTTTGGGTGGACTACAGATTTGTCGCATAATATGAATCATGCTACTAAGATACGAAATAAAGTAACGGTACTTGAGTTTTATTCAAACAAAATTGCTATTCGACGTAAACATTTTAATCCTTTGTTTATGGTGGAAATTTATTTCGACAGTACTTAGTTTATGCGTAAGCCCGTTATGAAGCAAATCGGATGACGTATATCAGAAATAATCAAAAGACTTTACGCGCAGACTCACATAAAGGTCTATTAGATCATGTGAATAGCATCAGTCGAGATAATAAGGCCCGTGTTGGTAATATTTTTATCCTCCCTTCAACATTTGTAGGGGGTCCTCGCTTTATGTCCAAATTATATCAGGGGAATATGGCGATGGTTCGGAAATTTGGCCGCTCTGATTTATTTATTACTTTTACATGTAATCCTAAATGAGAAGAAATAAAATCCGAACTTAAAGCTTTTCAAAATGCATCTGATAGGCCAGATTTAGTAACTCGGGTGTTTCATTTAAAATTTAAAGAATTTTTAGATGACATAGTTAAAAAAAACATTTTTGGAGAAATTTTGCCATATGTATACGTTATAGAGCATCAAAAACGGGGTCTTCCCCATGCTCATTGCTTATTTACACTCTCGGATGAAGATAAAATTAAAACAGCAGATGATGTTGATAATATTATATCTGCTGAGTTACCGGATCGAAATGCACAATCTGAGTTGTATAACATAATTATAACGCAAAATATTCATGGACCATATGGTCGATTAAACCCTAAATCAATTTGTATGGTTGACGGATCGTGCTCAAAAAAATTTCCTAAAGCTTTCTGCAATGAAACTGATGTATCTACAGATGGTTATCCAATATATAGACGCCGAAATAATTCTAACGAAACTCATTTTACACGTAATAAGATTCAAGTAGATAATCGTTTTGTTGTACCATACAATTCATTTTTAAGTCTTAAATATAACGCTGGTATTAATGTTGAACTATGTTCAACTGTTAAAGATATCAAATACATCAACAACTATATTACAAAGGGTTACGACTGTGCTCGAATCGGCGTCCAAGTAAATGCAAACGACAATCTAGAAAAAGTTGTTGATTATGACGAAATCAAACAATATTTAAATTGTCGTTATATGAGTTCTCAAGAAGCAGCTTGGCATCTTCAAGATTTTCCTATTCACGGTCAATCTCATAATGTCGTTATGTTGTCTATTCGTTTGAAAGATGGTCAATCCATCTTTTCCGAAGAGAATCAAGCTGAAAATGCTTTGCTACGAGAGTCGGTCGCATGCACGACTTTAACTGCTGATTTCGATTTAAATCTTTCAGATTCCAGTGCGCATCAATATTTATACCAAGATATTCCTAATCATTACGTATTTTAAATTAAAAAATGGGTAAAACGTTCAACGGCTTCTCATTACGGAGAGAAAACAATCGGTGTAATTATTTTTGTATCTCCTAGAGATGTTGATTTGTATCATCTTCGTTTGATTTTTCTCTTGGTGAAAGGTCCAGACGCTACATCTTTTGAAAATCTGAAAAAGTTCAATGGACAAACTTATTCGACGTACAAAGATGTAGCACGAGTTAGAGGTTTGATCAATGATTCAAATGTGTGGCATAATTGTATGTACGAAGCATCACGTTATATGATGTCTAAATGTTTACAATCGTTATTAGTTACAATTATTTGTCATTGTAACCCTGTAAATCCTTTGCAACTTTTTGAAGATTTCAAAGAAAATATGATTGAAGATTTTATTCAACAAGGAAATAGTGTAGAAAAATCTCTAAAAGTATGCATTAATGACATAAAAATGGAAATTCACCAAAATGGTTTCGATTTTAATCAATTCTTATCATTTCCTAATTTCGAAGATATTTCAGATCGCGAAAATAATTTAGTTAACTGTATTGTTGATGACAATAATTTATTATGGAATGATCTTAATAGTGATCAAATTTTAGCTGCGGATACTATTTTAAAATCATTAGTTGGTTTGAACTGGCAGAAATATTTTTATTAAGATGGTCCCGGTGGAAGTGGAAAAACATTTTTGTATCATGCACTAATCCAAATAGTTAATCTCATCGGTAGAAAAAAACATTAATCGTTGCATGGACAGGCATAGCTGCTACTTTATTGTCAGGTGGAGTTACATGCCATTCAGCCTTTAGTTTACCCTTAGACCTTTCTACTGTAAAATTTCCTAGCCTTACTCAAGTCAAAAAAGAATTTTTAAAATCGATAGATTTGCTTATTTGGGATGAAGCTCCCATGGACCCAGATACAACTTTAGAAATAGTTGATTTAATATTTCGCGATTTTATGGGTGTTTAAGTGCCTTTCGGTGGAAATGTTGTTGTGTTAGGAGGTGACTTTCGACAAGTTCTGCCAGTTGTTAGAAAAGGATCTCGATGTGCCATTATTGCTTCAACAATCAAACAATTTTCTGTTTGGCCTTTTTTTTCAAACATTCAGATTAAAACGCAATATGCGAGCTATCACAGACCCTAATTTTTCTAAATGGCTTTTAGATATCGGTGATGGAATGATACATTTACCAGAAATACCTAAAAGCCAATTTTCAGTTGAAGTTCCGATTTCTTTAATATCTAATGACATAGTTACAGATATTTTTGGTAGTAGTTTTACCTGTACTGATGTTGAAAAATTTTCAAGGCGTGCAATTCTCTGCCCAAGAAACGAAGATGTTCGATTAATTAATGAACGCGTTTTGATAAATTTAAACAATGTTGAACAAATGAGTTTTTACGCGATTGACTCTATAAAAAATGATGATGGTGTAGACGATCATGATTTACAAGTCAATATTCCGGTTGAATTTCTTAATACTTTGAATCCACCTGGATTAGCACCGTATAAATTAAATTTAAAAGTCGGTTGTATAGTAATGCTTTTGAGAAATCTTTCAGTAAACAAAGGACTATGCAATGGAACTAGAATGATTCTTAGAGCCTTTCGTCAAAACGTACTTCAATTGGAAATTATTACTGGTGCACTTTCTGGAATTGTTCACTTTATTCCTAGAATTTCTTTGGATACATCGAATGATCTGGCACTTCCATTCAATTTCGCCAGACACCAGTTTCCAGTTCGGCTTGCATATGCGATAACAATAAATAAGTCTCCAGGTCAAACTTTTGATAAAGTTGGCCTCTATCTTTCAGAACCATGCTTTTCTCACGGTCAGTTTTATACAGGATGTTCAAGAGCAACGAAATCTAATGGTTTAAAAATTCAAGTAAAAGATACCACTAGACAGGGAAAAATGGATAATGAGCAAACAGTAACAGATAATGTTGTTTATCGGGAGATTTTTTCATGAATTTCATATGTTTAATGTTTTGAGTTTATAACTTTAGTAATTCGTTTTTTATTTAATAATTCAAATAGGAATCCAAATTTTTTATTGAATCAATTTTTCCTGTTTTTCCGATAATCTTGAAGCCCAACTCTTCACAGGGGCCTCTAGTATGGATGTTTATTTTTCTAATACATACTGAAAATTTTCAATTATTCTAAAATGTTTTCAATGCGATTTCAAAAGAGAAATGATTGAAAAATATTTATTTATTTTTGAGCAAACTGTTTAGTATTAAGTGACGTAGAAAGACTCAAAGTAAGTATGAACGCATAGAGAAAAACAATTGCTGGTCTTTCTAGATTACAATTATGTTTAGTAATTATGTGGGAAAAAGCGACTACGTGCTCTTCTGTTCTATGTTTACACACAAAGTCGGTCATGTATGGTTGTTCTATGATATTAAAATGGGAAAAAAGGCTTCAGAAATTTCTTCTAAATTTTTTTTCACCATTTCTTCATTATTTATCATAAAAACACTATTGAAAAGGATGATCAATTTTTCAAAGACTGTTTCGAAATAAAATAAATATGACGAAAAACCAATTAATTTTAACTCCAAAGTATACTTTAGTTCATTTTCAGCTCACTAAGCATTTATTTAAGTTCGGTTTTATTAAATTATTGTGCAATCAATAAAAATCATTTCACTATAACACAGCTTACTCACTTGCGCACTTGCAGTCAATATATTTCATAAGAAATGGAAAGCATTCTTCTAATCCACAACAAATTTTTATTTCTTACTGATATATATACTAATAAAAAATCCTGTCTTTTTTATGAATTTAATCAACAAGGATTTCTATGACATCCTCATTATCAAGGAAGTCTTAATGAATAGAACAGAATTAACATTCTTTCTATTGTAGAATGTCTAAATATTATGAAAGGATGGCTACATGAATTGACACTATGATTTGAATACATCTACATCAGAGTTTCTTCAAATGCTTACTTTCAAGTTTAAAAAAAGATTGGTTGATAGTGCGATTACTTAGGGCGCTTTTTTGCACGATGGAAATATTTAGATTTTAGTCTATTTTTAACTGTTATGACGTTTATTTTTATATATTATTATTTTATGTGCAGTACCTCCTGTATAGCAGATGGTATGTACATGACTTCAGTAATTTAAAAGTCATAATTACTTGTTGAACATACCCAGGTCAAAAATTTGACACAAGATCTTATAAGATCTCACAATATGATTGTTCGACTTGGGTAGTGAAAGTATGCTGTCAATAGAAAGTACTGTTTCTATATAAATCTCGTTATCACGTGAATTGTTGTTGAAGATAGACTACAACTGCGGTAATTGCGCGCTTTAAAGGGCAACATTTTACTATAGATGTAAATGAATCAACGGAATCAATGATACTGTTTCATCCATCTGAAATGAACTACAGAGTAGAAAGCTGTCAGTATTTGATGAATATTCGTAATTCAAACTCGTGAGCAGTTACCAATCTACCTCAATTAGTAAATATCGATCTGTAATGATTTATTGATTTATATAATGGTCGAAACTATTTTTTTCAAGGTTTTGTTAACTTTTATCGGTAATTCAAATAGAAAAGACTGTTAATCTAACTCGATCAGTTTTTTTTATTTATCTTATAAAAATCCAAGTAAATGTCCAATATCATCAACCTTCTGTTTTTATGCATGATGTTCATTCAGAAGATTGGTATCGTTGGACGAATGATAGCTGATATGAAGATATCAAGCATCAACATATAAATTTAGTTGAACAGGTTCAAATTCATCAATCATACATAAAAAGTTTTCATACACCTCATTTAGAAAATTGATGAAAATAAACATTTGGAATTTTTATGCTTCATCTATGTTATTTAAACTATTGAGTTTAATATTGTCATTTAATTCTACCGATTGTATCAATTGTTTACAATGAACTAAAACACTTCGATAGATTTTTTTGAATCTAAAGTCTTAATGTAACTTTGATAATCAGTTTTAAAATGGTATTATTTTGTTCGAAGACCAAAACTTACTGTATTTATGAAGAGACGGTGCGTGTTAATGATATTAGGTTATTTCATACATTTTAGTTGAACATTAAGTGAATGTATTTATTATGACATCTAAATGAGAGTGTTTAAATCGTACTCAAAAGACAATTTATTCTTCATCACAGGTGATTGCTTCTAACTAGCTTTCTTTGGATTACAGTGTTATGTGAACTTTCGATTGAGATAGACTCATTCTCAATAGAGAACGATAATAAATACACGGCAGTAACAGTAGAGCTTACCAGAAATCCAATTCAACTCATTTTTTTATGATTTCTAATAGAATAGATATTCTTTGGGAGATATTAAATGTACATTTTATTGAAATATCAAGAATAGTATCTACATTGTATTTCTCACATTCCTTGTATACTAGTTCCTAACATAGAATCACCTTGAGAATACCGTAAACACAATAACAGAAAATAAGAGGTGCACGAGGATTAAATGTATTAGAGAAGAACGTATCAATATTCAATATCACTCGAAATTCAAAATATACGAAAGATCTATAAGCACAGCAAAGGTACAAAGTACCTACATGATCGTTCTAATGCTAAGTACGAGTGAAGGACAAAATCAATAGTGCACTTATAAAGCACAATCTAGAAGAGGAAAGAAAAAACAGTCTGACGGAGTAACATAAAGAAAAGGTAAAATGCGTGCATTTCACTCATAGGTTGCAACAGATTCTGTGTTCGATTGGATTGCTACAATTATTATTTAAGAGACATAGATAGAAACCGGTTTTTTTTCGATCGGTATGCCTAGTATTTTCTATTTTCCAATCTCTATGATTACTTTTTGATGGCACATGCATAGCTTTTTCCTATACAATATTGTATTTATCTCGCTCATTACTATATCTGTTGATTTTCTATTACGTAGAATACTTGTTACTTTCAATATTTGAATCTAGAACATCGAAACATACGACAGAGACAGGCATGAGTAAATAAGAAAAGTATTTTACATTCGTATCATGGAAATCAATCTATGCATCGAGTAAAACGATTCATTCAATATGGTATTTTATTCTCTTCTCTGAGCCGCCTACAAGAACGACCAATTTGTGTCATGCAGTTTAGTTTTGGTCTGGTCTTGCAAGAGTTCTAATAATGAGGGACTAGGCCAAAAAAAGTGACCTATTTGATGAGCAAGTAGACATAGTCAGGTTTCAAAAATTGAATCCATAGTTGCAAATAAGTTTACTGAACGAGACATAGATAAGATAACAGTTTATTCCATCTTGTCCCTCTCGGAGCTCTATCACACATATACATCAATTCATTTTTTGGCCAACTATGTCGGAGGATGGATGTAAAAATTAACTAAAGTGAAGAATCACAGACAGAATAGTTTAGCTTTAATTTTTTATGTGCATTTTTTCTATTGATCGCTTCAATAGCAGTTAAAAAGTAGGAAAACGATCGAAATTAATTTTACGACTCTGCAGTGAAGGTAAAGTTTGCTTTATTATATGCATCAGCAAGGTATATATAGAAAATCAACTGCTGATTGATAATTTTAATTATTAATTAAGAATAATTGCTATTATTTCGATGAAGCATTTAAATATCCATGATAACTTTACAATCCAGGCACAATCGTTAGGCCTTTGTTTACTGCTTTTGCACCGATGACTTGAATGTTCCATGAAGTATTATCCACTGCTATTGAAATATTGTTTGCCATTGTGACTGATCCATTGGTACAAGGAGCATCAGATCCTGTAGCTGGACTTTGTTTATTAATTGGTGATTGTATTACACCTGTTCCATCATTCATCATACTATTACAGGCATTGGGTGGCCAAGGATTGCCTACAGTATTGTTTGCGATGATTGAATTTGAGAGTGTCACTGAGGTACTACAAAATCCAAATGCTGCCCCGAATGCACCTGCATTATTGTTGGCTACAGTTAAACCAGAAAAAGAACCCGATACTGGATTTGAACAGAATATTGCAGCTCCGAGACCTTTATGCGCTTGATTCGCGAAAAAATTGACACCACTCAATGTAATAGCTTTCTCGTCGGCTAAAAATAATCCACCGGCTCCATCTGCTGAGTTATTGGCGATGATAGTATTTTGAATCGATGCGCTGCCACCTTGAATGTATAATCCACCAGCTAATCCATTTTCACCTTTAGTAATAAAATTACTATCGACTAATACTGTATCGAAATTGTTCTGTTCATCTCCATTGTATGAAACACGAAAGAATGCACCGCCGTATTTATTTGCTTGATTCTTGGTAAATCTTGTTCCGCAAATAGTATTATTTCTTCCGCGACCATCAAAACTGATAGCCCCTCCATTTCCACCGTTGCCAGGATTTCCACCATTACCGGTTGCCTGATTATTTTGAAAATGACTATTGTAGATGTATAATCCACTACCAAGAATGCCCAGTCCTCCCCCATTTGAGCATTTATTATCACGAAAAACACTACCAACTACAGTAGTATCGCCGCCACCCAACGTCCAAATAGCACCACCGGCAACATCTTGTCCAACAGTAGGACCAATGTTATTCTCAAAACTAGAACTGATAACAATCGTAGTTCCACCATTTTTCTGTAGAATAGCACATCCACCATCTGAATCTTGACATCGGCCATTGATAAATCGAAGACGTTGTACAGTCAGTGTAGGTGTTGCATATCGAAAATCTCCACGATCAAATTTCATAATACGAGTCATCTTTAATCCATCTAACGTTACCATACCAGCCCCATCGATGATAGTATCTTGATCTTTTGATATTTGCAATTCACTATTGAGTGCAATAATCACCGGTTCTCCGCCACAGTTAAATCTAATAATACCACCCTTTAGAAGTGCATTTGCCAGTATATTTTGATTACATGAAGAAGGAGTACCCGTACCGACAATGGTCGTTGCTTTTGTAGTGTCTCGTAGACCGAAAGGAGAATTGCATACGTTTCTTGGCAGTGGCCAGGAAAGAACTATACGAGTAGCGATAAATAACCAGATAATTGTTGAAGTAACAACTGGCGGTCGTGTCATTTTTCTTAAGAAAAGACAAGAAATATGTGTTCAGAAAATAACTTGAACAGCAGATATACGGAGAAAGCATTTCATTGCAATAAAGTTTAGCTGAAAGAATCGATTTTTTTACTCATTGTGATCTTCATTGACAAGAGATCAACTGTAATTTAATCGCATTTTTTATTTGTTGAAAAACTCGATTATATGTCAGAATATTTTATAAATATGAACTTGTTCTAGTCGTATGATTATGATAGTGCTCGATACTTTCTACTAAAGTTAAATGAGACAAAATCGCATTTCTCATGGAGATAAATCATCGTCAAACGATTTCAGATCGTATCTTAAGTCCGATACGAAAAAATACTCTTACTTTGACTTAATTCCTAACTCTTCTGAATTATTGTTGTGTTGCTTCTAATGCTGTAGAGTAACAAGTGAGAGCCGACTGTAGAAAATGATTCACCTGATGGAAAAAGTACAATTAAAAAGTGAATGCGCACAATAAATTTAATATCTACTGACTACCTCAGGTCCCATTTATTTAGCAAAGTCCCGAGGAGTATATTTTTTCTCATACAATCCTATCTAAATATTTATCATACAAAAATAAATAAATTGAAAAATCATCCGATACTCTAGTGAGAAAAGCCTTAAGTACCAATTACCTAAACTTTGCTTTTTTTCACCTTAGGCAGTATAGAAAAAATATCTTTGATGATGCTGTGGGCGTATTCAAAATTATCACAATGTACTTTAATAAAAACTGATATCTATCTATCAATCACGGCAATTTCAATGATTTCTAGTCGTCATTTGAGTCTCAAATTCAAAGAGATAACCTACGAAAATTCTTCTCTAATGAACTTTAGAAACATAATGCTTCTCTGAAAACAAAAGACCAATATAATCTCATTCCTCTCATAGCCAGTAAGGACTTTCGACATAGACGTCTCTCTTCAAACTACTATTTTGTTGTTATTTAAACTATATAAAAAAAGAAACCAGTTTCTATTTTTTACTGATACAAACTGTAGTATAGATTCATTATCTTATGATGAGAAATTTCTGACATCTAACAAAACCAAGAACATCTCTAGAATTCTTTCAGAAGACAGAATTCAGGGAATTCATGTTGACATTAGATAAGTATAGATAACATAATAACTAACAATAATTATTATTTACCGATTTTTTCGATGCAAAAAGAACTGATGCAGTTTACAATCTACTCATTATTCTATCGCAAATACATAAATCTGTGGTGGCAATGTGGATGTAGTTATTGGTAGTTGGTCTTTCCTAGTCGACGATATCGAAGAATTTGCTGCAGAAATGTAAAGTCATCAGGTTGCCATTGGGGACTCCTTCAGATATGCTTGGGGGTACCACGACTTCTACAGAATGGGGAGAAAAGAAAGAAGCCTTTGATGTTTTCATGACAGAGTACCGGAATAGATACTCATCATTTTCTGTATAGCACTTATGAAAGTATGCAAAAATAGGACTATTTCGATAACATTTGCTTGTTTCTAATAAAAACAATTTTCATTGATATGTCCATTGGGGAAGGCATGTTCAATGCCTTATGTGGTCAATGCTTCCAATAAGAATACGGATAGGGATGTGGCAATACCAATACCAATATTCCAATACTGTATTGGCATTGTTACATCCCTCAATACGGATTTTTTGTAGAAAATTGTTATCTGCTGATCGAATTTCAATGAAAATTTGAATAATTGTAAAAACAGAAGTGAATAGATCCATTTTAATGCTTCTCGGATCTTTAGATATTACCTGAAAATTTATTGTGGATTTCCTGGCAATTTCTAGGCCAAAATTCAACTAGGGATTGTTGATTTTGAAAATGTATGCAACGATGAGCCCTGACCAACTTGAAAATACTCTAATCAACAACACAAAACACATCGGAAAAATTTATTATTTATTGTTTTGATCAATTTTTATTCAATGCATACCTATTTATTATGATTTTCTTATTTGGTTGTTGAAAACCAATAGTAGAGACTAGAAGCCTAATTTTCACGATGGAATCATTGCTCAGTTTATTTTTCAATCAATGCTAATTATTTTTAAAATTTGTTTACGAAAGAATTAATTTTAAATAAATTCTCCATATCACTGAGTCTCTTTAAATGGTCGTCATCATTTATCAAAATGCCTTTTTTGTGTTTTTACGAGTGAAAAAGCAAACAGGAATATCATTCAATATTTTCAAACTCACGTAGCGAAGTATTACCATAGAAAGCAACAGTTTCTGACAGATATTTTTGCACTGGCACAGAAGGCGTTCTGCAAGAAATAAACATTTTCATGTTTGCTGTTTTACCAAAAAAGTAATTTATCAAAATGGAAACTTTTTTCTCAGCTCAGAAGCCTAATTATTATTGAGGTAAAAAACGAAAACTGTTATTCGTTTTTTCTTGAACAGTTTTCATTTTATTTACGATTTAGTTTAAATACATATAGTATATATATAGTAGCTTAACTATAAGTCTCTACATTGCTTTTCAAAATTAACAATCATGAAGCTGGTTTCAATTGTTCGTTCATTGAAGAACGAAGTGTCGAAAGTGAATTTATTCGAAAGTGAAGCTACTCTTGCTGATCCATTTCATTTACGTATTGCAATCATTTCGACTCGATTCTATATGTAGTATAAATTTACTATGGCTACTATTACTATGGTTGTATTCATGGCATTCAGTGGCGAGTTTCATCATATTACTATGAAAAATCCCTCGGCAGCAGTTTTCGACGACTTACTTACTAAATATTCTACTACACTACAATGTCACTGTAATCGATTCGACATACCAAACAATACATTCATGAATATATCGTACAAATTACGTCCAGTATGTTCAAATGTGCTTGTTACCAATACTTGAAACAGTTTTTTGTTCCGCCCACTCATTGGCTATTATTTCCAGCTGACTTCGCTCTGTTCATGTGCTAAGGCTACTATCGAAGATTCAATTAACGGCCATCTTTCAGGCACATTTCTCAGTTCAAAAGCTATGTCACTGCAGTCACTCAATATAAAAAGTGAAGCGCAGTTTTTGTTTCTGCAGACATCAACTAAAATTTCGTTTACTCAACACTATTGATCTTAAACGCGACACAACTCAAAGTAATGGCTTGCAGCCAGCTATACACACCTCAAAGATACATGTGGTACATGTTTTTTCCAGTGGCCCACTTAATTCCTATCCATTAGAAATAATATGGCTTTTAGAGTTTCGTAAGAAATGATTTTGCGGTTTATCGCGGGCGTGGGTGTCAAGATCCCAGTACCTGAGAACAGGGACCGTACGAAGAAGTGGTGCATTCCCCGCTCAAGAGGGAAAAGGCGAATCCTCAAGATCGCGAATACCTAGAAATCCTATTAGAATCCAGGTGATTCAAGGAGTACGAAATCTGTCTATTCAAGCACCTATCAGCGACAGTTATGCTTCCTAGATCACATAGACCTCTGACTGAAGCGAAAAAGCTTTTCAGCGCAGCCCCGTTGGGGCTAAAATGTGGAACTCACATATTTCGGCCAGTTAGATACTGGTAAAATAGAAGTTTTATTTTTTCAGTGTAGTGAGATCATATTTTGTTCAAAAATAAGATAATAAAACCTTTTTAACATTTGAAATTTATTGGATCTATCAATAGGGAATATTACTAGAGAGAACGTAAGAAAAACTTTTTGTTTAAAATATGCCAGTATGCTGAAGTGTTCAGTGGTTTCATTGAGAAATATTGTGAATGATAATATTTTAAACAGTATTTAGGATATAGTTATCAATATTGTTGAAAAATTTATATTTTTTCGGTGTACTAGATGAGAAATTGATACATGTTTTCATAAACGAAAATTTGATAAAAGCTTCCCAGTGGATGGAAAAGTTGCGAGTTGTAAATACACTAAAGTGGATTCAAGCTCTAGAATAAGATATTTATGCGAGAAAAAAAAGATTAAAATCTTCATCTGTTAATTGTAAGTGGTACAAGTAACGAGTGTAATAGTAGCACAAGCTAGCTACTAGCTTCTGTAGCGGTAGCATAAACTCGTTGCTAACGTCTGTAATAATAAAAATATATAATACTGTCGTAACCATGGGCTATAATAATAAAAACAACAGATTTTGATGATTAATTAGAGATTAAATCCTAATTATAATGATTTCTAATTAGCGAAACTAGATTTTTATTACTGATGTAATTAGTGGTGAACATAGGGAATCGACCTGTACCAAAAACGTTTCTAATTAGTGCATCTAAGTGTTAGTTTTTTTTATACTTTNTTATACTCTTCAATAGAAACCAAGAGTCGTAATATCTGCTCTGTAACATTTTAAAGTCAGTGTACCTTTTAAAAATAGGTGAAAAGAGACGCCAAGGGTTAATTTTTCAATAGATCATTGGGTTATTATGTAATAAGTAAGGATAGGATTGGTTTCTATAGGTTTTTGTTAGTGTTCCACAGCTTCAGCAACTGATATATGATGAGTTCTAGTTGAATTTGGGTACAACAGGTTACTCAACTCAGTCAGGTGCTTTTGCTATGAAAAATTTATTATTTTCAATGCTTCACAGTGACATCCAAATGTAATTGATATTAACTATGAATCTAGTTTTTAGCTGAGCTATTTTCGAATCTATATTATAACAATAAAGATTTTGTGCTATAACTGTAATTAGTTCATTTCAATCGTTCTCTAGATATGATCTCGGGGGAGTTTTGAATCGTAACAACCGTATTAAATAATAATGCTACGATCGAAGATGTATGAGAAAGTCTTTTGATTATTTTGTTAAGAATTTCGAATTCAACTCTATAATTGAAATGGTAATTTCAACGTAAATTCAGAAGAATCGCTGGGAAAGATCCGCCTGTTCTATTGAATGACCAACCTTGATAAATCTCATTTATTTAGCTGCTTAAAAAATAAAGTATACTAATAGCGAGTTAACTTTATAGAAAGATGAATCTGATGCCAAAATGTGAAAAATACATCTATCATTTACAAACGGTCTGAAAAACGTTAAGGAAATATGATTATTTATATATCGAATTGGCAGCACGCCATCGGAAGATTGCGTAGCTACATTAATAATTCTTCCCATTTACCTAAGAATTTTAGTTTTTAAATCTACTTGAGAATTTCTCTTCAAATAGAGCGCAGTTATTTACGCATAGCTTATATAAAAAATACATCAAAGTGTTAAATGAATCTTGCGAAGAGATTACTATCTAACAAAGCAAAACTTTGGGTAGTTTTAATTGATATTTGTATAGTTACATCTACTGAAATACTTTCATCTTACTTCAAAAGCACGATTCAATAAAGAAAGAAGATTTAAATTGAAGGAATCCATGATCGGAAATCATAAAGTCAACACACTTGAAAGGTTTATACAATAACATAATATTATTCCCTGAAACTTATTTATAGTGTCGATCTCAATCAAAACTTTAGCAGAGTAGCCAGTTATCTATAGAATGTGCTTATTCGAATGCATTCATAAATATTTCAAAAACAAATACAATATCTTGCTTTTAGGTAGAAAAACTTCTCTAAACAGAATTTAGTTACACAATTAGCATTAGGCAAGGGATATGGCTACCATCTCAGATGACAGCTTAAATTTATTCTACGATATGAAAAATGATAGCTACGATTCTTTCTCGGACAATAGTCATATAAAAGTGGTGTACTTCAACTTTATTCAGTTTATATAATAAAATTGAGATGAAGTCAATAATGAAGTTCATTCAGTAATACTTTTAATAATTTAGAAACAAAGCATTTTTCTCAATTACAGCATGGACATAAGCAAAATATGTTAACTTCTTTTAAAGAGAAGAAAATATTAAGTAGCTCTCAGTATTGGCGAAATTCCTTTGAAAAACAGCTATTTTATGCTGTAGTTTGACCTTTCGCTCTCGTATAACGAACAAAATACACATAAAAATCATGAAATTGATTTTTGAAATGCTTCCAAATTAATAAGCTCATCATTCTGAGCTATTTTTCTGTTGAAAACACCATATAATTCCTTATGAGTCTGATAAAAGTTGAGTTTCAATGTGTTCAGCAAAATTTGCTAAGATTATACAATCATCCCATATGGGGGTGAATATAAACGACAAATTTTACGAAATGTTTCTTTCGAGCTGTTTTTGCTAGCTTTCTAAAAACAAATTATGATATTGACTTATAAACTTAAGATTAGTTTAGAGCGATAGAGAAGAGTTTGAGCTATCGATTGGTGAAAAGAATCACAAACAAATGAAGTATCAATCTGTCAAAAATTGTGTTTTACAGAACACGCACAAAATAGCAGAGATTATACATTTATCCCAGCGGGGGTGAATGTAAACATGAAAAATGATGATCCAAGAATACCCTGCAGATAGGTCTACGTACAGGATTTTCAGTTGTTTTTTGCACCTATGGATAGAGTGTCATCTTAGCTAGGTGGTGTCTTATGACTGAAACGGTTTTTTTAAATGTAAAATAAAAAAGTTATATCAATTATTCTAAGACTCGCTATTTTTCATTTTACATTTACGTCCACCTACTCTAGATGCTATTTCTGAAGAGGAACAACAACTTAAAAACTATTTTCAAAATCCATGATATGCGCATCAATAAACTAACAGCTCAAGCTATTTTTCTAAAGTGCGTAGAGCCTTGAATCAAAAATGATTGATCACTTAGAATACTCTGCTTGTCATATCCAGCTTTGTACTTTATTTTTGTTTTTATTGATGACCTGTCACGCTAATTAATGATCCTACTTTTATACATAGCAGAGTTAAATAAAAACAAGAAGTTTGTGAGCCGTTTATATTCATCAAGAAATTTGTTTACAGATAACGTGCCACATAGCTACTTTAAACAACCTTCATCTGTTAACTTAACAATGAGCTTATGTATTTTCTTATGACCTTAAACGTTCAACTTTCATCACTCACATTTTTCTCGTACAAACAATCAATTGAATTCGAGATTGGATAAAAACAAAACTAAACATGTTATATTTCCTAATTACAATAAAATATAAATTCACGTTCAATATGGTTTCTTCATATAAGGCGATAACAACAAAGAACATGTCATTAAATGATGCCGATTATCTCATTTCAAGTTTTGAACAGATGTCTACTGTCTGATTATAGGAGATTTTTCATGCACGAATAAACATCAAATAGCTATATCTTTCAGAAGATCTATTTCCAATAGCGCCTTTTTTTTTTTGAAATTTTTTATTATGTTTAATTCTTCTAAATACACGAGACAGATGATGTCTCATTATGGCATGAACAATTTGAATTCACGGCAAAAGAAAAGAAGAAAGAAAGAAAAACTAATTATGTGCAGAAAACAAAAAACTCAAAAATCGAATGATGAGAATGACTTAAGATTCAATTGAACTATAAATTTTACAACGAAGTTGAATATTTTCTTGTTTTAAATGTGCATTTTCAAGACGAAGTTTAACATTTTCTTGTTCAAGCCAAGCAGCCCTAAAATATGAGAAAAACAAAATTTTCTTTGCGCCAATAAAAAATTCAATTTTTACTTGAAAGCCATTCGATCTTCTTTAACTCGTCGAGCATCACGACTACGTTTAGCAGCTTCATTATTCTTTTTTCTTCGTTCCCAATAAAGATCATCTTGATTCTTAGAAGACGTTGGTGATAGATGTTTCTTTTCTGGAGTCGAATTATTTGATACTGAATTTTTAATTTCATTTTGTTGACTAAGATTTAATAAATGTTTATAGAATTGTTTTAAACGATCTTCTTTTGAATTCAATTGATTGTCTAATGATGAATAAGAACCAAATGGTTGATGCTTATTTTGAACTAGTGCTGGTGATTGTTGAGAAAATTTCGTAGAAAAATCAAAAGGTTCAGATTGTTCTTGTTGTTTTTGAATGGACTCAATAAAATATTTCAAAAATAAATCCTGTTGATTTTTATTTGTATTTTCTTCATTTGTCTCCATGTGGTTCAGCTATATCGGCTGTGAAAAAATCAAGCCGAAATGCGACCGATGGAATCTAAAATATAAACGATATTTACTCAGTGATCAAATAAGTGACGATTGAACTTATGAAAATTCATGCATTCTTGTTGAATCAAATTTATCATCAACTATTCTGTTTTGATCATTGATCACAGAATGTTCATGAATTGTGATATCGTTCTCTATTGCTATATATATTTTCTCTTTTTCTTTCTTTTTCTCTCGCGTTCTCTTTTCGTATTCAATATTTGCTCATATCGCTCATGGAATGCACTCGTTTCTTTCTTTTTTTCGTCAAAAGCTCCTTGATTTAATCTTTCTCTTACCGCCGCTCGCTAGCGATCTAATAGCCTCATGTTTGATTGCATACGATATTGAATCGATACCTATGGGCGTTCTATAGAGGAAAAAATATATTATGATAGCCTGTTGTTTTTTCTTCCCTCGAACGAAAGATGGATTACGCAAAATCGATCTAACGACGGCTCCGTCCGTATAATTAATAGAGCAAACGATCACTGACCCCTGTTGATTATAATGATGAAAAGTGAGGTCAACGTTCTTTTTCTTTCTCTAAATATAAGACAAAAAATGTTTGACCATCGCGGCTTGCTCAACAGAGAAACTCAAGGTCATGTTATGTGTGAACAATCGCATGAAAGAATTAAATAATATAGCTCGAGCCGCTTTGGTGATCGATGTGAATAAGAGAACGAAATAACATTGAGCAGCAAAAAAAAGAAATAGATTGAATCGCTATTGTGTGCTCATGTACATCGGTCACTGGTCATTCAATACGATCCACTAATTACTCTTTATGTGAGGAGGAGAAGAAGAAGAAGAAGAAGAAGAAATATCTTGATTATTTCAAGGAGAACAAAACAAAATAGACGCCTGGTTATTCAAATAAACAATAGACAATTAGTAACAAATTCGTGTGTATGCGCTTGTTTTTTTTGAATCTCAAGGACGTTCAATTGTTTTCAAGCGCATGATCAATTTTCCCAGCCGGCTGATATTAAAGTAACTTTTCCGCCTGAATACAATCGTTTTAATAGATTATATTTAACGCTTAATTTTCGTAAACTAGTGACAATTGTGATCAAATCATGTTCAGAGAGAGAGAGGAGGAGTTATCTTCTTTTAATCCACTCTTGATTGTGTGTCGATGTCGATTCTTTTTGATGTTTTAACACTTCTTTAGATCTTTTCAAATATTTGATATTAGAAAGAAAAGTACACTTATGTGTACTGCGTCTATTCGTTTAATTTTCAATGGTTATCATGTGTTATATGACCCGATGAATTAATCATTGAGTAACATTGAGTGATTTTGTCACACGTTGGTGTGAAAAGGTGAGACAATCGATAGATTGAATTGTAACTAACAGATTTGCTTTTTTCCCTCTCTTGATATTATCGAACAAAAGAAAATTTATTATATATAATTCTAATCATTGAAATTCAGATAAAACGAATGTTTATTTTAAGAATAGCAATCTGTCGAGGTAATCTTTACATCATGATCATCATCATCATCATTTATAATAAATCTTGCTTTAAAATACAGATGGAAAGCGGAATTCAATATAGGAAAGAGAAACGAAAAAAACAAAACAACAGAATGATCAATGATGATAATCAGAGAAAGGTTATAGTTGATAGTGTATTATCAATTATTAGAGCATGTGGTGATGATGATGCTATTTGAATAAAATGAAACAAAAACAAATGATGATCTTAAACAAAGATAACAATCAAATTTTTTGAAAAAATAGAATAGATTTATTTTATAATTGCTATAATAAAACATAAAAATACATCAATAGTTTTGCGGAAAATCGTAGAGCCGAAATATCTTTTAAAGATGTTAATAGCCAAAAATATAGATACGTATTTTCTTTGATGTGACTTTTAAAATGAAAGCATAGTTTTGTGATCGTTCTGGGAATACTACAACTGAATGAATCATTGAATAACTTCTGCTTTTTTTTATTAAACAGCTAAGATTTCGTTTAGTACATGTTCAATGATGGAAGTGAATATCTGTGTGAATCTCAAAATATAGATTCATCTCGTATTAATCTCAACAAAAGAAAGTCAGTCTAACTTGTTGTGCACTTTGTATTGATTATCGAAATGCTTCAATAGATGGTGTTCTAATCTACTTTGTCTACTGACAAACAAATAAGCAGGAAGATTAGGTTTAGCCCATGATCATATAGCATTAAGGCTCGGAAAAAAGATCTTATTTCTGATTTGTGAGACAATAGAAATAGTTTGTAATTGTAAGGACACGTTTTAATTAAAATTGATTAAACATACTTTCCAAATTATATTTTTTTTCTACGTAGTCGAATTTTTACCAGAAACATAGATTAACGATCGAATAAAATTCAGATATACTAAGTGATATTCAATAGAAATGTTTTGTCTAGTGATAGATGCAAACGGTTAGGCGAAAATCGACTCTCTAAGTCTGCGTATCTTCTATCTGTAATTAGATTTTGAGCGAAGATCCGTTTCATATTTATATAATCTCTTCTTAATACTTACAATTTATAAATACGACAAATCTTTCTTACGATGACGTTCATATGTTTCTATTTACGCATCTCTAAGAATCCGTCAGCAGTTTTTTCTTCGTCTCTATTTAATTTCCTTTCATATCCAATTTGAGCTACGATAATATCACAAAACTGCAATATAGGAAAAAACAAATCTGGTACATGTTATCATTAAATAATTACATGACATTCTTGGTCGTTTTCTCGCAAAATCTTCTCATGTCGAATTTAATCAAATCTTTTATTAGAAACTAATAGCTTAAACCCTTTTCATCCAAAAAGATAATTTGAAGAAGAGAAAAAGAAACAATTGTTTTTTTTTCGTTTTCAAAAAGTTTTGTCTATTAGAATATGACAAAAAGAAAACAATCCGCATCAATACATAGAAACATTCAATGAGATTTTGTATACATTTAAAAGACAATAAACAGCAAAAAAAAATGAAATGAATATGACACAAAGACATATACAGAGTTGATCCTAATGAGTTCTAAACAACAACCACAACAATAACAAAAAGAAAACCAAAAGAAATGAAACGAAGCAACAACAGCATCGGCAGCAAATATTGCGTAAAAACACTAAATGTGAAGCACGTGAAACAAATTAAGGGAAGAACTAAAACGCAAAACGTAAACGATGTCATGAAATGAAGCAAATAAAGTATATCGTCAACTATAGAGACAAAAACAAACAAACAAACAAACAAACAAACAAACAAACAAAAAAATGACATTAATGGCCACTTCGGCATGGCAAAATGAAAACAAATAAAGACATTAATCTCTTGAAAAGCAGTATAAATATATAGCTTGATAAATGCATATCTCGAGCTCGGCTCTATAATATTCATTTATAAACTGCCTAGCAGAGATATAAATATGAACTCGATGAATTAGAAATACATGAATACTTTCGACACTACAAAAGGAATTATTGATTAGCCCAAGCATCACCGAGAAACATACACAGGGATATATCAATGACTATGATGTAGCATAAACCATACATCGCAATTTAGCTGTTTCTTGTTTTAATTGTGATACTTCAAGACGTAATTTGATATTTTCTTGTTCGAGAATGGCAGCCCTAAAAATAGAACAAAAATAAATTAATAATAATAGATATTTTTCAATCAATTGGCTTACCTTATAGCAATTTCATCTTCTTTAGCTCGTCTTGCATCGCGACTACGTTTGGCAGCTTCATTATTTTTTCTTCTTCGTTCCCAATAAGCATCATCTTTAATTGGATTATTTGGATCATCATTATTGACTGAACCATTAAGATCATTTGCATTGTTATTTTCAGTAATTTCATTGTCATCATTGGTTGGTGTAGTTTCCATTGTTCGATGTCGTTTTTTGGGTGGTTGTAAGATTTGTGCACCCGATGATGAGATAAAATATGATTGCTGTTGTTGTTGTTGTTGCTGCTGCTGCTGCTGTTGTTGTTGTTGTTGTTGTTGTTGTTGTTGCTGCTGTTGTTGTAAACGTTGCTTTAGACGTTCTTGTGTTTGAGCGAGTCGTTTACGGTTTGATGTTGAACGACTTGCTGCTTCAACAAGAATATTTGTTTGGTCTGATGTTGAACTAGGGCAAAAGCCAAATGGCATCATTAGTGGTTCACGTGGATAAGCTTTAAATGGTCGTGTTGGTTTTCCATTTTTATTTGTTAATAAAAATGAAAATGGTGATGTTGGTGATGATGCTGGTAGATTTTGTAACATGCTCGAAAGAAGTTGTTGCTGACTTGGTAATGGTGATGATGGCGTTGAACAATCATTGTTTTCATCGGTTGAACGATGTGAAGAAAAATCTATTGGACTTTCAGGTGTTGATGATGCCGATGATGTTGACGGTGGCGATATAGGTTCAAGTTTTTGTTGTTGTTGTTGTTGTTTTTGTTGTTGAACTTGAAGTTGAGCGGCAGCAGCTGCTGCAGCCATCACTGCTGCTACATTCTGCTGAGTTAGTAATTTCATTAGCAATTCTTGTTGTTGTTGTTGTTGTTGTGAAGATGTCATGGAAAGAGAATCGATTGGAATTTGTTGTTTGTGGTGGTATTGCTGTTTTTTAGAATTAATTGGTGGCGATGAAACTGCAAGACTTTTCTGTAAACTCTCGTTTTCAACTTTTTCAATTGCTTGAGCCAACAATTGAAGGCGGTAATGTTGTTGTTGTTGAATATTATCAGTATTAGGACTTATAGATAAATCTTCATTTGTCGCAGGGCCAACCTAATATGATGAGAGGAAAACATGAAACGGTGACTAAAAAAATTACGTCTTTCTTTTCTCGTTCTTTTTCTGCGTTTTTTATATTCGTGACATAGATTTATCTGATGCGATGATGAGTTATTAAGCCGTTTACTTGACTTTTATTTATTTATTTTTACTTAACTCAATGTTATTTTTTATTCTTCAAAATTTTTAACTCAATATGAAAAAGAGTCTATTGTTTTCTACAAGTTTTATCTGTTTGATTGCAACGAGTTCAATATCGAATGTCTATGATCATTTATCATTAACAGAATACTCGACATTAAATAGGTTAAAATTTAAAAAATCAATATTTTGCGATTATTTTTCAAGATTTCAATATAATGATGCAATCGATATTGAATTAGATCATAGTGACACTAAAGACTTACCATTCTCTTTTTTCTATTTTATTTGTTGTTCTGCAGTATTTTATTCACCGGGAATAGATAAAATATGTGTAGGAATAGTTGTTGCTGTTGCTGTTCAATCAACGCTAACGCAACAACAACACTATCAATCTAGAAAAATGTCCTTGTGAGCACTGAATATGAATGAAAGCAAATAATATGTTTTTAGTAGTAGCGCTCGATGACGAAGAAGGCGATTGCGTGATTTGATTCGTTTTTCTTTCCTTCTGTTTTTGTCCTTTCGCTCCTTTGCTACTCGGTTTCTCTTGTTCTTTTTTTCTCGTAGCCTTTTTCCTTACAGCGTTTTCTTTTTCACTTGTATATGTCTGATTGCATTATATTACTATTAGTCGCTGTCATAGACAGCAACAGCCGTTCTTTTTTCTTGTTTTGTTGTTTTTTTTCTCTTGCGTAAGTCAAGAACGAGACATTGAAGAAAGAAAAGAGCACACGTTCTATAATATTACTATTGCCACTAACAGAAAAAGAAAAAAAACAAGATAACCAGTTTCGGTTTATTACTAGTTCCCTTGTCAGTCATGTCGTGGTTACAAAAAAAAAATGGTGTTCTGTTCTCGACGTCAAATGCATTTTCTGTCGAATAGAATTATGTAATTTTCTCCTTCTCCTTTTCATTTCTCATAACTTCTTCTCTCTGTTTATAGCTACCCTCGTTATATTTTTCTATAGCTTTTTTTTATGTAATATTACGTTATATCGTCTCGTCTGCGTCTACTTGTTTTTTGTCGGCTTTCTTCGTTTCTTTTTTTTTCTTTTCTCATCTCATACAATCACCATAAATATATATATATATATAGGATTCTTGATGATGGCAATAATACGACAACAACAACCCTAGTAGTTCTCAACAAAACACTTCTTTTTATTCTCTGTGTTTTCTGCTTCGATTTCTTTGTGATGCAAATATCGTTCTCGTTTCTTTTTAATACTTACTTCATCAATAATATTCATCATATGAAAGAAAAGAAGAAAAATTGTATTTGTTAAAAGTTTTCTTCACGTTGTTTATGTCGTTGTTATAAAGTATATGTAAATGCAAACAGCTATTATTCTAACAAGTTCGATGACCTTGAATAAGATTGTATAGTGACCGATGGTACAATATGAATCGATTTTTTTCTCGTTCTCTTCTTTCATAAATCACCCCGTTGGTCAAGGTCAACAGGATGCGATGTAATCATCCGAGCAGACCCGCTCTTTTTTCTCTTACTTGTTCGATAAGTTTGTACATAATGCATACGTGAGCGGTCACTCACTAACCATCGGTCACAACCAAGGTCATGTTTTTGCGCGAATATGAACGTTTTAGCTATTTCATAAGGCCATATACGCATGAAAGATTGATGCATGCTTTTTTTCTTCATTCATTCTTTCTTTCGTTCTTTTCTTTCTTTACGAGTTCATCCGTTCAGTAATACTCAAGTAACCGCTGAACTCTACGTTGAACAAATGTCATTATTTAAGACAACCTTGAATACAGAAACACCTGCCCTTACTATAAACTAAAACAACGAGAATATCTGCCCCTAAGATGAAATCTAAACATTGGAAGCACAACAAGGAACAAAGCTTATTGAAGGATGAACGTTAACTATATTGAATAATACATTAATAAAAACGGAAAAGGAAATAAGAGCCATTTTTTTCTAGTTTCTGTTTTTGATGTAACTAAGATCGATGCTGTTAGTTTATAATAATATGTCGATATGTTATGTCTGCAAGTCAATGTTATATGCAGCAATGATTCTTTATGTTGGAAATTATGTTTCGTACATGAATGTATATATCATTTGACAGATAAAAGAAGGCTGCGATGTTTGGTAGATATTTGAGCATGTTTACGACTCGATAGAAGATTCTGCTTGAATATCAATGTTGCCAACGGAATTATGCATGAATAAAATCTTTTTAAAAAGATATTTTTAAAAGCTATTCTTAGAAAAGGTTATTTCTAATCTATTCTATTATAGTTACATAAATGAGGTTGCTGAAAGATAGTTATTTACATCCTCTGTTTTCAACTATATTCTTCATATTTATCTGGATCGATGAAAATTTTCAAGGCATTAATTAACAAAAAAATCTCATCACTCTCGATGAACTTGCTAGCCCGATGCTCTAGATTATGAATTATAAGGTCAAAGTGACAAATTTTCAAAATAATAGCATGTTTCTTGTATTATAATGATGAAAAGATCAATTTTCACCATCATCGACAACAATTATTTGAATTTTCATTGACATATAACCGACAACATATTTATCTTTATTTGAAAATAATTCTTTCGGTTATATTTTCTATCAAATTAATAGATTATCACCATCATTATGTAATCTATTTAGAAATAAGACTATTTTTTTACTATAAAACTACATATTACAATGAGCTTTTTTGATCCGATTCAAAGAATATCTTTCTTATTGGTTAAATGGAACAAATTTCTGCTAGCTTTCTGCTCGATTCTAATTTACTTCGTTTTCTTAAGAAACCTTTATATATATGTTGTAGGCAAAATTGGAATTAATTCCAATTTTGCCTACAACGTATATATATATATATATGTTATGGCCGGAGTTGGAATCCAGCCCAATTCGAAATTGGTCCAGACGAAATTGGAATAACTTTTTAATGGATAGAAAAGAGAAAATTTTTGATTAGCCTTGATAATCAATTAAAGTTTGTCTGTGTTTCTTACTTGTTTCTGTCGTCTTTTCTAATCTACTTAGAAGAAGCGGCGAAAAAAGAGAAGAACAAATTCTAGTCAGAAGTGATTGTGAAAACAAACAGTATATATACAGAGGTAGTCACGCATAAGATCGTAACAAGATGACGTCAAATCAACAAGTGTTGAAGTTGATAATAACGAGTAGATCTTGAGAGTGTGGGACCAGGTTTCAACAGTGTTCATCCACATCCACACCTTATACAAGAAACGAAATGCGTTCTGCTCTACGAAATGTCATTCGAAGCGACGTGCATGTTGAAACATGGGTTATATTAGTTTAGAATATAATATTTATGAAAAATTTTTGTAATATTAAAAAACCTGAAGCTAATTTAATTATTTATCTTTTCCTACTCTTTTCTATCTAGTAAAAAATTATTCCAACTTCGTCCATAAGCAGTTCAGTCGAAATCAGAACTCCTATTTGGTCTAGACGAAAGTAGAATCTCTAGCCTCGTCTGGACGAATTTAGAATTGGGCTGGATTACAACTTCGGCCATAACATATATATATATATATAACTTCTAATTAATAATAATTAGAAACTTCAACTCCGGGACTTCTCATAGACCATAGACGAGCAAAAAGAAACATCAAGAGTTTTTGAAGGTCAACAATATTCTTCATTTATATGATGCATCAGTTGAGTGTCAAGAATACTAGACATTAAGAATGTTATTTAAGAGAAATATTGTTAATCGTTTGGTTAAATTAACAGCGTCTATTGCGAATATTAATCTAATTAAATTGATCAACGAATGATTTACTCTGAAAAAGATGCTCACTATAAAAACGAAGAATTCATTCATCATCTCATATTTTCTTTCATAAACATTAAAATTATATTATCTAGTTTAATTCCAGACCGCCATTATCATAATCAAATTTTTACCATATTATAGTAGAAATGCCTTACAGGCACAAAAAGTATTTAGCTTGCTAGCGGCAAATTTAAGTCACGACAGAATGACCTAGTTTTATGCGTTATATGATAATATCAACAGTAGTGAAGCAATTGATTCGTTAGCATTTAGCTCAATTTCCATGGTCTTCCGTCATTATTTTCTCTATTTTGAATTTGAATTACGTTGTAATATAGTTACGTCGATAGTTAGAAGACGTCAAAATGAATAAAAAAAAAACAGGAATTTGTGAATGATTATAATAAGAAACGTTTTTCTAAGACATCTCTAGGGATCCCAGCAGTTTAAGTTTTTTGAAATCCGGACAACAAATTTGGTAATATCCTTGAAAACATCAGGACTTTTCATAAAAGTCAGCATATTGTTGAACCTTTATAATTATTACTTTAGAAACCAAATTTTTAGAAACAGTCGGGATAAATTCATGATACTTCTTCTCACAACAACTTATCAAGCCAGGCTGATTTTTCAATATTAGTTCTTAGACATCATTTATTAAGAAACACGCGAAAATATATAATGTATTAAATTTAACTTTTGACATTAGTCCCACTCATTTACTTTTACATCGATATCTGTCAACATTTACATTGATGCAAAAAGGAGTTTTTAAAGATTATTAAAACATTTGATTAAAATTGATCTCTATCATTTAACAAATATTTTCTCCTTTTTTTTTATTTCAACAAATCTACGTTCAGTAATCTTAAGAGGGCAAATTAAAAATTTTAATACAGACAACAGGAAATAGCTAGGCTTCAATATTTTTGAAGTATGAAGAAAGTATTATACTTGAACAGAACCTCACTGTACTTGATTCATTATTTCTTACTAATGAACCTGGTTTTGTTCACCTCTGTGCAAATTTCTTATAGAATATCATAAAGGCAAAAATATTTTCAAGGACTTTTTCCTAATTACAGACAAGTTCAGATTAATCTATTTTAAGCCATTAACTAAGAATTGGATTGGACGAGAGTCTCGAAACTTGAAGAAATATTTAAAAATAAAATTGAGAAAAAAAAAGAATTTTCTGAGGATGTAAAATCGTTGGTTCGAAAAATATGAAACCATTAGATAATACTGAAAATTATTTAAAACAGATAAGAAACTAATACAGGTAAACAAAAGAAGACACAAATGTCTAATGAGCATTGTGCTTTCCTCTCTTGATATTGAATATTCTAATTATAACTGTTTTAATTAAAAAAGTTTTAAAATAGATTTAATATAATATAGAATATGACATAATCTTTCAGAAAAAACTCCTATGGTGACAGATTGGAGTATGTGAGGGCAGAATCCGAACTTCTAG